ATCTGTGAACTTGCTAGGGTGCAATCCATTCCTTCATCCAGATCATTAATGAAGATGTTGAACAAAACCAGCCCCAGGACCAACCCCGGGACACTCTGCTTGATACCGGCTACCGACTAGACATTGAGCCATTGATCACTACCCATTGAGCCAGACGATCTAGCCAACTTTCTATCCACCTTATAGTCCATTCATCCAATCCATACTTTTTTAACTTGCTGGCAAGAATACTGTGGGAGACCATATCAAAAGCTTTCCTAAAGTCAATGTATATCACGTCCACCACTTTCTCCATATCCACAGAACCAGTTATCTCATCATAGAAGCAGAGGTGAGCTGGAGCCAGTTCCCACCGGTTCGTGGGAACCTGTTAAATTTAGAAGCCCTTTTAGAACCGGTTGTCCCGCGAGGGACAACTGGTTCTAAAAGGGCTTTTAAATTTAACAAAAGCTCCAGCAGCTCCCTGCCCTTCCCCTGGCCCCAGCTCACCTCGCTCCGCCTCCTCCCCTGAACGCTCCCCCCAGCTTCTCCTCCCCCTCCCCGGCTTCCTGCAAATCAGCTGTTCGCGCGGGAAGCCTGGGAGGGCTGAGAAGGAAGCAGCGGCTTCCCGCAGGTGAGCTGGGGTGGGGGCGCGAGGAGGGCTTTAGGTGCCGCACGGCCCCGGCCTAGCCCCCGGCCGGCTGGCCGGGCTCCGGCCCCTGGGCCCGGCCCCAGCCGGGCCCCAGCTGGCCTTCGCAGCCCCCGGGCCCGGCCCCAACCCCGGCCAGGCGGGCGGGCGGTGCAGCTCCAGCCGGCGCGGCTCCAGTCCGGCCCAGCGCCCCAGCTGGCGCGGCTCCGGTCCCAGCCCTGGCCCAGTGGCTCCGGCCAAGCAGATCCGGTCCCAGCCCCGGCCCCGACCGAGCGGCTCTGGCTCCGGCCGAGTGGCCCCAGCCCCCACCTCCAGGCAGCGCGGTAAGGGGGCAGGGAGCAGATAGGGGGTGTTGGATAGAGGGCGGGGGAGTTGGGGGGATGGATTAGGGTCGGGGCGGTCAGAGGGCAGGGAACAGGGGGATTGAATGGGGGCAAGGGGCCTGGGGGGGGGGGGGGGCACGACCCCCTCGTGGGGTCAGGAGAAGGGAATCGGTTGTTAATATTTTGGCAGCTCATCACTGCATAGAAGGCAATCAGGTTGGTCAGGCATGACTTGCCCTTGGTGAATCCATGTTGACTGTTCCTGATCACCTTCCTCTCCTCCATGTGCTTCAAAATGGATTCCTTGAGGACATGCTCCATGATTTTTCCGGGGACTGAGGTGAGGCTGACCAGTCTGTAGTTCCCCGGATTCTCCTTCTTCCCTTTTTTAAAGGGCAACATCATGACAGACCAGGTCGTCATGAAGCACGGTTGGCTCCGTGCTGGGCGCAGTGCCCAGAACCCGGTCAAAGTCATCATAAAATGGGCATGTCATTAGCAAGTTGCCTGAGGTGCGGTTCTTGTTCCTGGTCTTCCTGTATTCACTCTTTAGCCTCTTAATATGACCACTTGTCCAGAAAATCTGTAGAGCTGCTAGCTTTTTATCTATTTGCTGGTATGCATAATCGTTCCTGGTGTTTTACTTGCCTCGCATCAGAGATTCACCAAAATTTGGCTGTGCTCCTGTGGCCATGAAGCAGCTCACTTTGCAAAAGGCTTGATTGTTTCGCTCTCCATTGCAAACCCAGAGGCTCTCTGATAGTGTGCTTGCAGATCAGTGATCAGAAGAGAATGAGTTAATGCTGGCATGAGCTGCTGCCATTTGCCAAAGGGGGGGTTGGCTTCTGCTTTCAATAGAGTGGATTGGAGATTGTTGGGATAGAGAGGACTAAGGAAGTTGTCCCATGAAATTGTGAGATACTTCTGGCAGACTACTGGGACATGTATCAAGTGGACTGCATCTGCACTGCAAAGTAATAGGGGTGAAACCCTGGGTCCCAGCTTGACTTGTGCTTGGACCCTGCAGGGTCCTGGGACTGAGTCCTGGGTTAGAGCAATTGCAGTGTAGATGCAAAAGGTGTTAGGCTTGAGCCCTAGCTCAAGCACAGGCTTACACTGCAGTGTAGACATACCCATAGGGGCCAGTCCTGTGAGATGCTGAACATCTTCAACTCCCACTGAAGTTAATGGTAGCTGAGATGTTGCGTGTGAAGCCTTCTCCTTCAGAAATGTACTCTGTCCTGACTCGAGACTAGGTTTGCCAATCCTCCAGGATTGTCCTGGAGTCTCCAGGAATTAAAAATGAATCTTTAAATCTTATGTCATGTGATGAAACCTCCAAGAATACATCCAACCAAAGTTGGCAACCCGATCCTGTAAACAGGAAAATGAGTAACTTTGCTCACGGGAGTAGTCCCCTTCATTCCTAGTCAGTGGAAATACTTGCACAGGTTAAGTTTCTCAGGTGCATGTTTGCTGACAGAAATGGGCACAGAAATAGCTAAAGATTCTCAGAATCACACAGGACAGGGCCATTAAATGCTGAAATATAAGGACTATTAAAAGGACTAGTAGAGCTGGTCAAGAATTTTCCAATGAAACATTTTTCATCAGGAAATGTTGATCTGTTCATTTTCTGATTCAAAATGACTTTTTGCTTAGAAATTTTAATTTGCATTAAAATAAGTTTTTAAAAAAATTAAAAGGTAGGTATCAAAATGAGATGTTTCAATTGATCCGAACCGAAAAAGTTTCATTGGTTCACAAAAAAAATTTGAGATTGACTTTTTGTCCCATCTCAGGGTGGGAAAAAATTTCAAAAATCTGAAAAACTCTCGCAGGACAGGAAAACCTTTTCTAAACCCAGATCTAAATACTAGTGTTAACTTTGCACGTCCAGGCTTTTTACAAGCCTTCTGGCCACGTCTTGCTCAGCTGATATGTATAATCTCATTGAAGGGGTCAGTAGGGCTACTCACATGAGGAAAGTGAGCAGATGAATTCTGTCTTTACCCCTAGCGAAAGTGGGTTTTTCTGAGTGCGTACTGACTGATATATTTCTTCTTTCAAAAATAGAGCTGGAAGAAACCGTTTAGTAAAAGACAGATTTATAACACTGTTACTTCTTGCTTATATGAACCAACACATTATCCAATAGAAAGTTAATAAACTAGAACTCTTGGATGTAATAGAAGAGTGGGGAGAACTATTTCAATTGAGCAATATACAGCAGCTGTCTTATTTCGCCAGTGCTAACCAGCTTTTATATCTCCCTTTCCGCCTCAGCAGTGGGCAAGACAGAGCTGTATTGCTATCCTGTGGGCAGCACTTCTACGTAGGAGTCTGCCTCTAGAGTAGAGAAATGGGTAGTATTTATGTATTGTCTGCCCTGAGTAGATATTAGGTGCATCGTCTCTAGTATGTGTGTGGGTAGCACTTTTGATTGCAATAACCTCATCTTTCCAAGGACAGTGGCTTCTGTCGAAACTTTCTGTGCAATCAATGGAGGCCATACAGAAGGTCCTTAACAAGAAGGATCATCATCGGGGAACAATGGGGCAGATTCATCCGTGTGCTGGGGCCAGGACAGACAGCTTGCACTGCCTCACTTTGAGAGCTGGCAGGAGCTGGCTTGACCCCAGGCACAGGGGAGGGCAGCCTTGTGGGCTGCCCTGTCTCTTGTCTCTGTTGTGACAGTCCCGTGGGCCATTCCAGGAATGTTGAATCACCAGAGCCCAGGACCATCCTGGCCACACCTTCTCCATCCTGCCCATGTCCTGGGCTTCCTGGAATGCCCCTGTGCATAGGCTGCTGTGGAGGCACTTCAGCTCCTGGAGTACTGGCCCCCTGCACCCTGGTGGGAAGGTTCTTATACCTGTGCTATGGCCCCTTTGCACCAGCCCAGCTGCAATATTTGTTCATCCTCGTGCTCTGCATTAAGGAGTGTGTATGGAAGGTAATTTAGTCCAGTAACTCCCCTGTCGCTCTCTGTTGCCTGGCAGGTACCTGAGAAAGCAGTTAAACAAATGGAAAGACAAAGTGCTGCTCCTCCACAACTCCCAGGAAGACAAAAGCTGCAGACTAGAAGCAAAGCTCCAAGCCCTGATAGCAAACCATGAGTGTGTGCAGGCGGAGCTGCAGCAAATGAGGCAGGAAATAAAGGTACAGAGAACAATGTGCCAAGAATCTCGACAACGATTTGGCTATTGGCATGCTCTGAGCACTGCGCACCAGCATTGTCTCATTGTTACTTTGTGCTCCCCCTGTTGTCTCTTGTATCTATGTATCTATCTATCAATCGACATAGACAGACAGACAGTAAGCGGGGACTCTTTTTGTTCTGTTTATACAGCACCTAGCACAATGGGGCTCTGATCCACAATGGGGCTCGTAGGCACTACCACACTACAAATAAATAAATAAGAATTATAATGAATAATGAATAATAAATAATGCGTAAGAGTGAAAACACCCTTAGAGAAATTCCAACCATAAAAAAAGTCTCCAAAGAGAATTGCTCAATGCATCTTAATCAAGACTGGACACATCACTAGACAGTGTAGTCTAAAGAACAATCTTATCTTGTCAGGTGATAAGAATTAGAGATCTAGTCTGATAATTAAAGGAAAGTCTTTCCTTGCTGCGGATCAATATCTTATTTTGCCTTTTTCTTTTGAAATATTTTAATTCTGATTCATTTAAAGTAACCTTTGGTTTCTAAAGTTTAAATGATGTTCTCACTCTAAAATATTAGTCCATATGCTATGCAAATACATGGCATCTTACAACTGGATATACATGCAATTTGTTTGTATGAGTCATACGTACAAAGACACATATATATACACACCGAAATATGCATGCACACATTGTGTGTGTTTGTGTGTGTGTGTGTGTGTGTGTGTACACACACACACACACTTTTTTTTTTCTTAGTTAAATTCTTTTAGAATAATTTTCCAGCAAATTAAATCTTGGGCTACTATGACGTCCCCTTTTTACTGGCACAATAAGGTATAATATCTTGAGACTGAAATTACAATAAATTGAGACATTGAAAATTGTGGAATGAAACCTGTGTACAACATAATTAGACCCAATACACTTAAAATCAGGCAGGGGATAACTAGAAGAAGAAAAAGGCAGAGACAAGGTGTTTCTGGATAGACACCAAAGTTTTTATGGGCCTGATCCAAAGTCCACTGAAGTCAATGGAATAACTCCTATTGATTTGTTGTTATATTGCAGTAGGGTCGAAAATCCCCAGCCACGCTCAGGACTCCATTGTGCTAAGTGCTGTACAAGCGTATGAAGAGAAAGTCCCTGTCCTGAAAAGCTATAAACTAATTAGACAAGCCCGACAAGGGAAGCATTACTATCCCCCTTTTACAGGTGGGGAAACTGAGTCATGGGGATTCACTGATTTGCCCAAGGTCATATATGGTTTCTGTGGCAGGGATGGGAGGGAACTGAAACCAGATCTCTTAAGTCTCATTTCAGTTCTTTAACCACAAAACCATCCTACCTCTTTAACAGGCTTCCATTGGCTTTGTATCAAGCTTTATAAGCGACAGGTTTCCTGTGTTGTGTTCATTTCAGGCAATGTTACAACCACCAAACTATCCTTCATTTGGATTGTGTCAAAATATGATGCCACAAAGTGAAGACCCCTGGGAGGAAAGAAAGCTTCACAATGGATCAGATTCAGCTCTGGCAAAACCCATCCCCACTAGCTCTACTGAGTGGAAATCCCTGGATCCCTCCTCAGCTGCAGAAAAAAGACAGCTATTACAGACTCCGACTGATCCAGTTGCAATGAACCGGAGATCATCCGGTACCACTTTAGGGTCGATATTCCTGCCGAATGGCAACCCCCTAATGAGGCAGCATGAAAAATCAAAAGAGAAGGGAATTCCTCAGACGGATCAGGAGGGGATATCACAACCTGAAAGGACCGGGAACCTTCCCCAGGGAATTATGACCACAGCTTCTAGCCCCACTGCTGCAGAAGTGCCATTTAATGAGAAGGAGGTGAATGAAGAGAAGGAACTGCAGCAGCTAGTGCTGAAGCTGAAGGATGCTTTATCTCTCCAACTGCAACCAGGTAAGAGTTCTAAAGTCACAGATATTGGGCCTGATTGTCTTCTGACCTACATCCAGTTTACTCCAGCATAGTTCTATAGACTTCATTGGAGCTACTCCGGACATATATACGTGAGTGAGTGGAGAATTAGACCTGATGGACCAAACTCTCTATTCTGGTGTAAATGGGTGAAGCATCACTGACTTAATAAAGTGTCACCCTTTGACACCAACAGAGAATTTAGTCCATTGAGTCTAGCATGAGGTGCCTTTATATTTACACTTTGGGTCGGTCAGGTGCTGCACTTATTTGCATCCTGAGCAACTCTAGGAATTGCCCAGAATATAAAAGTTGCAACGTGTGAGATGCTCATTAAATACTACTCAAGCCTGTACTCAGCAAATATTGTTCAGTCTTTCTGTGTAGTTATATTTCACCTTTGGAAATGCTTTAAAGGTTCAGCAGGTTATGTTCCCAACAAGAGGGTGCTCATTTTCTTGCCTTCTCTATGAATTTGAGGTCTCATTTGAATTTCTTTCGCTGGTTCAAAATTACTCTAAAAAGGATGCCCACAGAGTTCACATCCATTCTTTAAACACAGGGGAGGTGTCCTTCATATCCCTTCTTCACGGAAGTCCTAGAGTATGTAATGATGGCACCTGCTGGTTTTCATCAATTTGGTTAGACAGTATATTATTAACTAGATAACTTGTGTTACATACGTTTTTTTTATTTCTAGACGTGCAGTAACTAAACCTCACTGCATCCCTTGACATTAGCAGAAAGCTTTTACATGGAAATCTGAAATGCACGGGAGGCAATAGGTCTCAGGATATTTGTGTTAGATGTGCTTCCTGGCACTGTAAATTACTAAGGAGGGAGTGACATGGCATTCTGAGGAACCTGTGTTCTTCGAGTGATTGCTCATGTCAGTGCCAAGTAGGTGTGTGCATGCTGCGTGCACAATTGTCGAAAGGTTTTTCCCCTAGTGGTACCCATCGAGTCGGCTGTGGACAGGGCCGGCTCCAGGCACCAGCGTAGGAAGCTGGTGCTTGGGGCGGCCAATTCAAAGGGGCGGCACTCCGTCCGGTATCGGGGCGGCATGTCCGGGTCTTCGGCGGGAATGCAGCAGCGGGTCCCACATTCCCTCTCTTCCTCTTTGATTTGCCGCCGAATTGCCGCCAAAGAGAAAGAGAGGGAGGACCCGCCGCCGAATTGCCGCCGCAGAAGCGGTGCGATTGAGCTGCCGCCGAAGTGCCGCCGCTCGTCTTTTTTATTTTATTTTTTTTTGGCAACTTGGGACGGCAGAAAAGCTGGAGCCGGCCCTGGCTGTGGAGCCCCCTGGAGTGGCGCCCTATGGTGGTGAATATAGGTGCCTGCTGACCTGCTGCCTCTTCAGTTCCTTCTTACCACCAGTGACAGTCTTTGAAGCTACTTTGTTCTCTTGCCTTGGATAAGCTCTTCTCCTAGCGAATAGTTATTCTTGTATATAGTTCTACGTAGTATAGGTGTTCTAGTATTTTAGTTAAGTTAGTTTGTAGATAAGTTTCTGTTGGGAATTACCCCCCACTTTTTCCTAGTAGGAGTTTTCCTACTCCCCTCCGGGGACCAGGGCATGCTTCGGTCTCAAGGCTTCAGAACTTGCGGGTCTTGCCAGAAGCCTATGCCCAGGGGAGACCCTCATGACTCCTGCATAAAGTGCTTGGGGGAAGCCCACCAGACTGACAAATGCAAGATCTGCAGGAGTTTCCACCCAAGGACTGAAGGAGAGAGAGTTTGGACTTAAGCTTCTCCTTATGGAGTCAGCTCTCCATCCCCAGCTGGCTCAGACCACGTCAAGATCCAAGCCCAGCACTTTGGTGCTGAGTGCACCAGCCTCAGTAAGGGAGGTTGTGGTGCTGGAGAAGGATTTGGGGCCCAGAGACCCGCGGCGCCGCCACTCTTCGGCACCAAAGACAAGTTCGGCGATTTCTCGGCACTGATCTCACTCACTGGTGCTGCATAAGAAGCCGAGAAGAGCCAAAAGAACTCACCAAAAGTCCGAGCAGTGGAGCATGATGGTGCCCGTGGAGTGTGTCCCACGTCAGGACACTCAGCTCCTGCTCAGGGACAACTGGTACCCTTGACTCCAGCGGCCCAGGCAGAACCGTTGAGTCCAGTTCTGTTGGACTCTCCGGGATGGGAGAGCCAAACTGGGGAGTTGGACATGCCGTACACTCCTGACACGTTTGAGGCTGCCAGGGACTTCATAGAGATGGCAATCCAGCACTCCCTGGCACCGGCAGAGCCAACAGCGCTGGCACCAGCAGCTCCAGCACCATGCAGGGGGGCTGGACTGTCCAAGGGCAAACCAGCCATGCTGCGGCACTGGTTATCCTCACCTTGGCACTGATCACCGGCACCAGCCCACATGGCACCGCCATGGAGCCCGAGATCAGACTCGTCCTTGGAGTCGGAACCAGAATCATACATCTCCAGATGCAGCTGGCACCAGTCTCTTCGGTCCAGGCAAAACGAGATGCAACAACTTCCGATGATGCCCTGGCCACCACAGTGGCAGGCACCCAGTCAGTGGCCGTTCTGGTCCCCATGGGCGTATCATCAAGCCCAGGAGCCAAGCTCCAGGTCCCTTTCGGTCACCTCGGACAGATGGGGACCTCAGTCTGCCTCCATGGTAAGGGAACCTCCAAGGGAACCACCTTCACGAATTTCAGCGGCATTTCGGCGGCGATGCCTCTTAATGTTGCCGCTTCACGGCGGCATTTCAGCGGCTGCTTGTCCGGCGGCCACAGTCCTTGGCGGCTAGTCATCCAGCGCCTGCCCCACGGAAAAGGTTGGGGACCACTGCTCTAAGGGGTACAAATACCTTTTCACCCACCCCCAGCCGGGCATGCTGGTAGTGGATGTGGCCAAGGCCAAGGAAAGGCAGGGTCACCAGGGCCCCACTCCAAAGTCTAAAGAGGCAAAGAAGCTGGACCTCTTCAGCCATAAGGTCTATTCCACTAGGGGGCTCCAGCTTCGAATTGTCAATCAGCAGGCAGTTCTTAGCCGCTACAGTTTTAACTCTTGGAACTCCCTGTCCAAGTTTAAGGAGCTACTTACATCTGACTCCCGCTCTGACTTTGGGGCTGCCCTGGAGGAAGGCAAGACCATTGCAAGGACTTCCTTGCAGGCTGCATTAGACTCAGTGGACTCGGCCACCCGTACAGTGTCTACGGCCATTGTCATGTGACTAGCTCGTGGCTATAAGTCTCAGCCCTCCCCAGAGGTCCAACAGACTATACAGTGTAGGGATATTAAAGAAGGTACTAACAGTGATTCCCCCAAGTGACAGTGACCCCCTCATAATTTGTCCCCCACACTTTAAAATCCAACAGTTTCACCAAGTACAAAAATCTCTTGGGTCTTCTGTTAAAACTTGTAAGCTACTGTCTGTAGAAACCATTGATTATATCTATCCTGTGAAAGATACTTTACTACTATGTAAAACTTACAAACAAGTTAACTGACTTTGTTCTTGAAGTAATTGATACAATGCAAACAAACACTATAAGCCGTTAAGTGACTTTCACTTCATTCAATGGCTCCTAGGACAGACCCCCACCCTCTGTGATTAAAGGGCCGGGAGTCTCAAATGAATTAGCACACACCCTGAAAGTGGTGGAGACAGTAAATTAAAATATGGTTAAGATATGGAATGTATGCTGATGAATGCTTGATATACATGAATGGTTAGGCCAGCCTAGAAAGGGAGTATCCATCGGCCGAAGAATGTGTCAAGTGGATGACCAGAAAACCCCCGGAGGGTAAACTGGGATCCACCCCATCACCTGGAAGGATGAGAAACACAAACTTTGGACAGTGTGGAGCCACCAGGAATGTGCCATCTGCTGATTGAGTCAGCAACAGCAGGATGAAACAGCTCCCATAGACTAACATAGTAATTAATTCCTATAAGATTGGACTCTATAGACTGATGACTTTGAGTCTCTGGTTCTGCTGCCAACCTCCAGGAGCATCAGGTGCACCTGACACAGACTCGGCTCCATTCTCATGACCAAGATACCTGGCCAGTAACTTGGCATGAGCAACTTCTAGGCTGGTAACTATAACACCTATACAGAACTTGAATGAATGATTGTGTGAATGAATCTCTCTCTCTGTGTGTGTGTGTGTGTGTGTGTGTGTGTGTGTGTGTGTGTGTGTGT